AACAAAACTTCAAGACCACGGCCACACAGCCCGGAAGACCCACACCAGCCATCGTATGCCGGCCGTGAAAGCCTTCGACAATACATTTTACAGCTTATGTTGCACAGAATATTAAGATGTTATAGTATAGTTTCTGGGCTTCTGAAGCATAAGAAAAAATGGCATGGATATGATGTACTCCTCACCTGATGTTTCTGACCACTTTGCAAATAACTGCAGCACTGTAGTTGGTGTAACTGTAGGAGGACCTGCGATCATAAAATTCCAAGATCAGGAAGCAGTTCTTTCATGAGCAGCATGGGGCCGAAGCAAACTTATGAAAACTCTTGTCTTTTTGTAAGCCAGTTCCGAAAAAGCAAGTTAACATGTATCCATCCATCTTACTGGAAGTGCTGTGCTGTCATCTTTTCTGACCTTCCTTCAAAACTAGGGTTCACTATTGCTGCAGGGAGACCTTAGTTCACTGAAATCAAACTATTTCGATTTGTAGTTATACTACAAATGCTCTTTGCATTTTTCTACAGAGAGTTCCAAGAGCAGCCATGTACCACGTACAAAAACATGTGTGCTGGAGAGAATGCCAGTTGCATCTGCTGATGCTGTTTTAGGCTACATTCACATTGAATGGTTGGGTTTGCCCAATATTCTAAGCTGCAATATGCCTAACTTGTTTATAACTTAATATATTGTGCAAACCAGACCATGTAAGCCCTTGCAACTGCATTAATTCATTATTTGGTTGTCCTTGTAAGATTACAGAACATTAAAAAGGGATCTACTTTAGTTTTCCCCTGAAATGCTAATTTTCTCTATATATGTATTTCTGTCTGACAGAATTTTCAATCATGTAATACCACCTTGCAGTAAGAAATATGACAACCCAGACATGATTTTAAGCACCATCTTTTTCTAACCCAGACTAAGTCTGGGATCAGAAATAAGCAACATGGGGTAGTTGCTAATAGCCTGAGTCTTTGGGTTGGGCCTTTTGCCAACCCTATCAATAGCCCAAAATCAGCTACAGCTACCCATGTAGTCCTAACCACTGCATTTCAGGTGTTGTTGTTGTTGTTGTTGTTGAATCTTTCCAAATCACCATGACATAACATTGTCCCATGGCTGTGGCCCAGCTGCACTGCAGAATAATTAAAAGGGCAGCATTAGAGGGTTTCCCCCCCTGCTGCTGAGCATGCTGCTATCAAGGAAAAATAGAGTGAAGGACAGGGGATGCTTTTTTCTCATCAAACTTTTAAAGTAGCACCAACAGTGATTAGAACAGTGCACTTTTTCTTCTCTGCTTTGCAATCCATCCACCTGGGCTTACATCGATTTGCAGCATCTTCATCACCCACTTATCTTTCTGTGCTCCAGCTAGGAATTCATCCAGAGATAATTGCCCTAAAGAATCAATGGCAAGAAAGAAGAAGTCATAGTATGTTAAAGATGAGGGAGATGCACTCTGTCCAATCCCACTAGTCAACTATCACCTTCCTTTTTCATTGGAGTATAAAAAGGAAAAGGAAATGTGCTACCAGATTGAAATGTTGCTTCTTTGATTCATTTGCCACTGGAAAACAAATGTTAGAACAGATAGAATCATTTATATTTTCCTCAACAAGGACAGTGATATTCAAGAACAATTAAGTGAGGCAGTCACTTGGAAAGTCTGATTTGAACTTTCAGAAACATGATTTTCTAGGATGGTAGGTCATCTGCCCCTCCTAAATATTTATGGAAGTCAGGAAATCTCAGAGCAAATTTGGAAAGGACAAACCACATAATGAAATATTTAGGTGTGCTGGGAATGAATCTTTCTGGAAAGTATTCTCTACAGTACTGTACAGATATTGAGGTGAATGATTCACAATCTGGAAAATTGGCAAGTCTTTCTCTACCTCCACCCCTCCTGCATAGCAGAGATAATGAATCTGGGGTTCTGTTAGAGAAAGAGAAAGAGAGAGCTGAAGTTTCCAATCTGTAGTATTATGGAATGTTTGCTCTCTTCCTAGAACTTATATGAAACCAGTTAAATTTGCCGAAATGTATGTTTAAACATTGTTTAAATATCTGTAACCTTTCCACATATTTTTAAAAAATAAAGATTGAAAAAAATATGTAATTCAGTAATCAAATACTATTTTTTTTTTGTAAAAAAGAAAGGAACTCAACATGGGTGCATTGACTAGATGACTGTCAGTTGATAATTCAATACAAAAGTGTTATCTAAAAAATCTCCATGTTTTAAATGACACTGATTAAATTTGTGTACTACTTGCATCAGGCATAGACAATCTGTTGCCACCATAAATTTTGAGTTACAATTCTTATTAGACTTGTAATTGACAGTAGTATTTGGAGATAATGGAATCTGCATTACAAAAGATCTGGAGGGCATCAAATTGCCAACCTTAATTTCAAATAAGACATGTGGCCCAAAATCAAGTTATTACCATCTCCATTCTCATCTACCAGTTCAAATATTCTTTCCACAACTTCTTCTGGAGTGAGACTGGGAACAGCTCTTTCTTCATCAGATTTGTATGCTTGCTTAAGCCTATAAATAGCCTGGAAGAAAATACACCCATAGTGTTAACAGGAAGCCACACAATAAAGCATATGTAAACCTCTGAGACAGATGAGTATAGAAATTTGACAGATACTTTGATCAAGAGTTTAAAAAACAAAACATAACAAAAGAAACATTTCAAGGAATGTATAGCCATGAGTGATGTAGACTGCTTCCATATGGACCATTCCTAGTGCTGTGTCAGAAATGAGGCATTGTGCAGGTGTTCCCTCTTTTCTTCTTTTTAACATTTGCAGTGTTAAAAACAAAAATATGAAAGAACAATTGGAAAACGATGCTAAAACATACATTACTTATGTTTGCCTATAATCCAGGATTTTGGGTTTGTTGTGGAAAGAAAACTAATACACACAACTTATCCTTTCACACTTCATTTTTCTCTTTCTGTGGGAGGGTAAAATTAACCAGGAAAGAATAACTCATTGTCCTATCTGAACCTGTTTGTTTGCTCTTAAACAAACTGGGATCATAAGCCACCAAAGAACTGTTACATCCGTTATCTTCCTTTCATTTGGTTCTTAACCTTCTGCTTAAAATGTAAGGGGGAAAAAAATCCTCTATTCATCTTCCTTCCTTCTTTTTGCGGGGTTGTAGGTTGTGGACTCTGAATTTTTTAAAAGAATAAATGTTAGACTTCTCTTTTTTGCTTCTCATGTTATTATGAGCTATTCTTTAATCAGAAACAACTTTGGGCTTGCCTTTTACCAGATTGTGGAATAGCCATGTAAAATAGACATATCCTTTAGGCACAAACACTGTTCCCTTCTAGATACTCATGATTCACAAAGTGGAGGTCTGGCTCACTAAAAAAGTTACCGCTTAATTGTAAAAGTAGTAAACAGCACTGTAGATGAACTTATGAGTTGGGAAAGGGGTGAACAGATTTGGAAAGTCTATCCTCTTATACTAACCACAGTATAGCAAGTGTAATGTACATAACAGCTTCATTCTGATTCTATTTAAATTCTAATTTAAAAAAAGTAGGAAGCTGGCATGTGGAAACTAAAGCATTAGCTTCCAGCTGGCCAAAATTTTTAAAAAGGTGGAACATCTGGCAAAAACATCACACATTTCTACTCACCTCAACTATTTCTAGGAGCTCGGGTTTATCTATGCAGCCATTTCCATCTTTATCATACATTTTGAACGTCCATCTCAGCTTATGTTCCAGTTTCCCTCGCAAAACCAGATTCAAAGCAGCCACATATTCTAGAAAGTCAATGGTATTATCCTGGGAACATAAAATGGTCACTTTAATTGTGAACAACAGTAGTTCTCAACAGTAGTACACTGATTATTTTGTGGCTCTGTGACATGACACACCACTTATGGCCATGAGCTGTCAATGGCTCCCATGCCTCTTTTTCACTCTGGAGCCCAGAGCGGGTTGCCAAAATTCAACAGCAAACAGCTGAATCATGGTGGTACAACTTCTTTTTTTGTGCAGGGGGGTGGAGAAGGAAAAACAACAACAACCTCAAGTAAAATAGTTAAGCCTCCAATGGGCTGAAAGCAGCTATTTCTCATGAAAAAGAAAGAAGGAAGGTCTGAAAATGAACATCCTGTCCCTTCTAATGACATAATAATCACATTTTATTTATTTATTTATTTATACAAGTCATATAGCTCCCCATCTCATTTTATGTGACTCTAGGCAGCTTACAATAAAACAATAAAAACACAAAATACATAAAACAAAAATAAAAACACATAGCAGCTGGGCACAATCTAACCTATCATCCATACAACCAGGAGACGGGCTCTAACCCACATTACTGCTCTGGCCACTGTAGCTTTTGATTGACAAAAAGGATCGCTCCCACCCATGCACCAACCTTTTATTTTTTAATATATTTTAATTTTTAATAATGATTGCTTTATATTTTTATAATGATTGTATTCATATAATTGTTTTTATTTGATTGTTGTATATCACCCAGAGTCACTTCTCGTGAGATAGGTGGCTATACAAATTTGAGAAATAAATAAATAAATTTTGCCTACCCCTTCTCTGCAAGGAAGAGGTAGGTACTGTATCTGCATTTGGTCTTAAAGGGATTTGTTAACTGTGGATCCAGTGTCCGTGAGAATAGCTATTAATCCCCAGCTGCAATCGAATGCAAAACACATTTATAATGACTGGTTAATTTCTTGATGCAGCTGGGAAATGAAGCAATGGTATACAACACCCAGAATTACTTCTTTGTTCACTTATAAAGAATTAGTTCACAATGACAGCTTTTGAATTTAAATATGATATAGCAAGTTTCGCAAATCAGATCTCCTGGAGTTTTGAAAATAGCTAACAATAAGGATAGAGGGCAATTTGGAATTTGAACCTACTGTTGGCAGATATGGGTTGTTATTACTTATTCCCAATGCAATGTTTTTCCAGTAGAAATTGCTATTTAAAGCTCCTCTTTCTCTTCCAGGACACAGCAGTTACCAGCATTCATATGTCTGATCAGAACAAGTGAAGGGAAAATGGTTAATCCATTGCTGAAGTTTTGATCTGAATTGGGATCTCTGCCACTGCTATTTGCCCATTAAAAATGTCTTCTGTTCTTATTAAAGATGGGATTCACACATTGCATAAGCCATGGTTTGGTTAGACATGGTTTGTCAAATAAGCCATAGTTAATTGAGTGTATACCACATGAAGTCATATAGCATAAACTATACTTTACAAGCTTTAGAACTGAAAGCTGACTTGGTAACTTTGGGCTAGCCTCCTTCAGCCCAACCACCTCACAGGGTTGTTGATATGTTATTTTGTACAGCTCAAGGCAACATTCAAATCTAATAATAAAGAAATGAATAATTCAGCACCTTCTCCATGGACGAAAGCATGTGGATTGAATCTGTGGCACAAGAACCCTCCTCGAGGTGACATGCTAGCCCTACGTCTAGTCAGGAGACATCAAGAGAACGAGGACTCATTGCTAAAGTATGCAAAACCCAGTAGAGAAGTTGAACAGTCATTCCAGACCAGGCTTTTATTATGCAATTCCTCCTGCCCTGGCATGGAGATTTAAAGATAATATTCAGATAATGTTTATTTGCAGCTCTCATCCATTTATATCCTTCCAGTATTTTCCCACTGCTTTTGCTGTCCTCTGTTCCCCCAGATAAAATCTGTTCAAAAGGCAGAATGGTGGAACAGCTATACAAGCACCCTTATGTTACAAAATATGCCTCCTCAATTTACATACTTTATACAGGAGTGTAAATGGGGATGGCAGGATTCACTTATCGCACTAAGTCATAATATGGTTTTGGCTTCTAGGGTAGCGTGAACCCAGCCATAGTTAAATAATGCAATATGTGGACCGGATCTGGGTTTCTCTGTCTAAGCATGCACCAGATCTTTCTCACTATTATATTTAACTAATCATTATCTTCAGATTTGTTTTTCCATTGTTTGGATGGGGAAAGAAATTCAGAGTAAAAACTGAACTACGTGAAGCATGGTCTACGGGCAAAGACACTCTTTCAGAAAGAGTTTATGAGTGCAAGTTGTATGCATGTCCACTCTGTGCAAAATATGACAGCAGCACGCAGTGGTGGAAAGTGAAGTTGACTGAAGTAAAATCCCATTTCCCTGAATGCCAGAACTTCGAAGAGAATGATGAAAACAACAGTAAGTGCACCGTGCTCTGGGTTTGCATAGTACATTTAAGTGTAAAAAATGGTTAGGAAGCTGCAGAGGATGGGGTGAAGAGATAGCGTGCAGTGTTGTATCCATCTAGAGTGATTAAATGTGTTAAATAACTTTCATTAAAAGAACACTTTTATTACCCTCTCTCTTAATGTGTTTCCATTGAAAAATTTCAGGAACAAACCTTAAGTTAATCTAAGTCAATAACTCTCTTTTATTGGGAGGAAGATGATCAATCCAACTATTTCATTAATTTCTCCTCCAATTGTAATGGTAAAACACTCACAGAAGGCCAGTACTAAAGTCATAAAATGGGCCACATCCTGCCTTCCTTTCTCTTCCTCCATTTTTAAATCAAATATATTTATCTTATTTAATTTCATACACATCTTTTCTTTTCCTTCTTTTCCCTTCCTTGCTCTGAATTAGTTAATTTTGCACTAAATATATATTTTGCATTAAATTATATTGTAAAAAAAAAGTTACCCCATACAAATGGCAAAACCACTTTGGTTCTCAGGAGCTTTATCTCTCAACCATACACTTCCTGTAATAAAATATGTTAACTTTTTATTAACTACAGGCTGGAGTACAAAGCCCACGGATGTTTCCAGAGAAAAAGTAACAGTAAGTGTGAATATCATCAGGATGACTTGAATCCAAGTGCCTTCGCTTTCCATCATGTAGATGCACTCCCAGGCCATGTCATACAGGATGGGATGTCTGAAGACGGTGTGATCCTATGCATATTTTCTTGCTTCTTTTTGGCTGATACGTGGATATATGAACCTACGCGACTCTGTGGCTCAAAATGACTATTTGTAATGCACTGGAATTAAACAGGTTGATTTTTAAAATGTTTTTGCATGTGTTTAATGCTGCATTCTGATACTGAAACTCACATTTATCAGAAAAGATTGAACCACATTCACGTGCCAGATTCAGTACACTAAGTTTTATTACTCTTTTTCTCACTAGAATGGCTGTATGAAGTTAACACAATATGAAGTACTGTGACATTATTATTATGTTATAAAATGAATATGTAGGTGTTGATTAAAATGCCTTTAGCATTTGCACTGTATTTAAATAATAAGTTCAGGGAGAGAATTCCAGTTTATTAGCAGGAATTACAAAAAACTGTTTTTCTTGTAACTCTCTGTTAACCCAAAGCGGGTTATTTGATCCAGAGCCACTAAGACAGCAATATATTTTGATCAGAGTCAAATGCCTTTTTAAATAGCAGGCATAAAAAGTAACCATGCATTTAACACAGTCACTGCATTAAAAAAAACAAAAACCATTCTTCCATTGTATGGAAATGTTAGCATGAATCCTGCATCTATTGCTTCCTTACCAAAATAAATTATTATCATGACATTAATCTCTCCAATTATGACATCCCTACTTTTTTTCTTCCTGGGACTATCATCTTATGCTACAGTAGAATTCATCAGATTTTTCTCCAATTTTGGAAATAATGGAATGGATGCTATGGGACATAACTGTCAGCAAGTATTGGAAGAATTTTGACCAAACAAGTATTTATTTTAAAAGTCATCTTATAAGGTCTTCATCAATGCTATTCAGATGATGATGATAAAATCTATCAATAGGAAGAAGAGTAAGAATCTGACAATAAACACAACCTTTAACTGATACAGCATAAAAAAAGGTGCTTACCCCATTCTTATCAAAAGCTTTGAACATGTTTTCCACATAATCTGCTGCTTCTTGATTATCATGAACCCCAAAGAATCGTTTGAATTCATGCATGAAGAGAGTCCCACTTGGACATTCTATTACAAACTTCTTATACCATTCCTGCAATTCAGCCACATCAATCTCAACTTGTTCTCCTTCCTCATTAGTGAAATGTTGTCCCATCTTGCTTTGAAAGATGGAGAAGAAATGTTTGTTCTTTCTTTTTTCTCAGCTTTCTTCTCAGTAAATATTTATTTTTTCTTCTTAGATATTTAATTTATTTTACCTTCCTTCAGTGACTATTGCACATGTAAGCTGGACTCCTTTTTACCTTTCTGATCTGCAGCTTCTATTTAATCTTGTTGCAAAATTTTCTCACTATTTCAGCTTAATGCAGTTTCCTTAACTTAAATCATTACAAGATAAAAATAAGTAAGGTCAATAGGAGATTCCCACATACGTTGCACAGAGACCTCTACATGTCTCAGTGCAATGCTTTATTTAGAAGAACTCCCAGGTTGGTCTCTGATGCTAATCTACTGATATGGATGCTACCTGATTAACAGTTATTTATAACCTCTTTTTTGCTGACTCCGTTTGAACCATATATGAACTCATCACAATTGTTCCCTACAAGTAAGCAGCCAATCTATTATATAACAACCTTGTTGCTTATTTCAAATTATATGAGACATTCAGACATTCAGAAATGAAGATGTGATTAAATCTAAATTATTTTGTTGATTTTCTTCATATATTCCATAATCTCTGAAACAGGGGTCGGGTTGATAAACCAAAGTATGGCTTATTTGTGTTGGGCTTAACATGTTGTGTAAACCTAGTCATTGTGATTTTTAACCATGATTTATGGTTCAGTGAATCTAGCCAATTATAGTTCATAATTCAACCTAGCCATAGCATCAAGATATGAATGTTTAACAATCAATAGCCATTTTCAAGTTTTCAAGCTCTTGAAGAAAATAAATTTATTTGCATTCTTCCCCAGATGGAATAGTGAGAAAATTTTGCAACAAGATTGAATAGAAGCTGCAGGTCCCTGTATACTGAGCTCCTAAACAACCGTTTGTTTTACAAATATAGGCTTTTTCCCAAGATATCAGCCTTATGTCTCCATTAAATTAAAAGCTTATCCCAATTCCCTTTTTCCCTGTCACTCCAGACCAAACTTCTGTTCTCCTGTTAAATAGAAACAAACAACCTGTCACTTTAAATAGGCCTGAGCCCTCCTGATAAAGAGATACATCCCATTCCAAGATGATTAGCAGAGTGTTTAGAAGAAACAATAATCTCTGTTGTAATAATAGCAGGACATGAAGGATTAAAGGGGATGGACTGTACAGCAGGTCAATTTCAAGCAAAATACAACCCCAAATAGTATTATAATGAATTGAAATGCCTACACAAACACTTAGCTGGTTAACTTAAATCAATATTTCATCTATTTCCATAATTTAAGGTGGAATAAGGTGGAGGAAGGGAGGCAGTTATGCAGATACAATACGGACAATTTGTGAGACAGTTAGCAACTGTCATGTGTTAAAAATCCATTGTTCGATCATTCTTTTAGCCATCTTCCATTCCCATCCAAACTGCACAACTCTTGATATTATCTTGACAGATCTCAAACACTTATGTGGCCAGTAAAAACATATGGATATACAGCAGTTGATCCAGAGTCATATTAACAATCCTGTTGATCCAAATGTGACCACAATGGAAGAAAAGAAGTCAAACTATATGAGTTTCTGTACCAACTGACTACCAGTTTTCTAAAATTATTATTTGCCACAGATGGCAAATTATTTTGCAGTAGAAAACCAAGTAAAGCAGAAAAATAAGTCTGCATTTACTGCTCTGCCTGATACTATATTGGGTGGATTACACCAAAAGCTTACTGATGTTCAAGGGCATTTTAAAGTCTTTCAAACTGTCCATATTTGTCCATGCGTAATAGTACTTACATGACTCTTTATATTATGAACCCCCAACATGGGATATTGAGCCGGCATAGGCACAGGACAGAAACAGAGGACAAGGCATTTCTTGTTGTGCTCCAATCATTCAGTGGCTTCCGGCTATCCGTAATCTGATGGACATCATTTCCCCAAAACTGTTTGTCAGTAACCACTTTTCTGAGTTCTTACAAGTTCACACCTGTGTCATCAGCGATAGTATCTAGCCACCTTATTTTCTGCCAGCCTCTTTTTTAATTGCCTTAGATTTTTCCAGGCCTCAGAGTCTTCCCCAGAGACTCTTGCTTTTCCATTATGTACCCCAAATAGTTAAGCATTATTAGGGCTTTCAGGGAACCGTCTAGTTTTACTTGATCCAGCACTGAATTATTTGTTCTTGCAGTGCAAGGCATTCTCAAATATGCTATTTCAAAATCAACTATGTGAAACAAGATTCCACATGCTCAGGGCATCACCATGTGTTGCATCACTGTTACGCAAGTTTGGAAGTTAATGATTTGTTCTCAGGAAGACAGAAAAGCCTCTCTGTATTTACTCTGAAATAACACCGCCATGCAATGCTGTTTCCTTATGCTGATGCTAGTCCTTTTAAATACTAATGTACAGTACTACTAATATGAACATGCTTCTAATTACTATTAAGGATCCTTTACACTGTTAGTGGGGAATATCTATTATTTTACTTTCATGGTATTTTGGAATCATAATGACCAAATGTATGTCTTTGTCATTTCAGAGATGCCTGCTTCAATGTGAATATTCTTAAAAACAACAGAACAGAACAACATTGTCTATGGTGGTTCCATTGTGGGTATAAAATCACAGAAGTAGCAGGAATCTCAGGAATCATCTAATTTAACTTCCTGCTAATACAAGAAAACCAGTTATTGCTGATAGGTGGCCATCAGCCTCTGCTTAAAACATGTAACAAAAGAAATTTCACTATATTTAGAGGAAATCTTTGCAGTGCTCAGTATTGTTTACTATCAGGAGATTATACTTTTGATACATAATATTTATATTCTATTTATTGTCTATTTGGACAGTGTGAAACTATCTAGAATTCAGTAAAGCACCTTTGCATGTTCCAAAGCTTCTCTTCCACACTGAATGTGTATAATAATTTGATCCCAGTGCTTTAGGTTCCACTCTCTGGAATACATTTGCTTTTAATCAATAAACCATGATTTAAAATGGGTGTGGTTTGCTTTGGTCTTAGTTTACTAATACTAAACTAAAACCAAAGCAAACCACACCAATTTTAGCAGGAGCTAACATCTAGCCATCCTCAAGTGGTCCCCCAAAAGATAAGTAGGGTTAGATGTGGTTAGTAGTTGGAAAAAAAAAAGCAAGGTAATCTTAAGGCTGCAGGTTAGACTGGGAGGTCAAAAAACAAGCAAAAGACCATGGTAAATCACTTCTGTATTAGTGCCAAGGAAAAACAAGGAATTGACTTTGGCTCAAGAGTGTTTTTACTTTTTCAATTATAGGAACCACCAGGAGGCACTACATTGCCAGTTTCACCTTTACTGGGAATCTTCAGATACAAGCAGCCAGATATTATTTTCTGGGATTCAGACTCTCTATTGGAAATTGAACTCATGGACTTTAGATAAATATATATAATGCATTAGTTTTAGGAGTTACTTAGGTCCTGGTGCTTAACAGTTTCAAGAAGGAGTATCTATAAGCACTATCAGAAGGTTATATTGCTTCTTTAGCATTTGTGTGAACACAGCCAATGAGACCAGAAGCACAGAAAGCACAAGGGTCATGGTGCCTTGTCCTAAATACAAGAGGTATAGTGCATTTCTACAGCTGGGTTTACACAATATGATAATCTAGAATGCTTTACTGGGAAAAAAAATCACAGTTGGCTAGTTTCACATTGCAACTAAGTCCTTTTCCAGACAGGACTGCAATAGGAAAATTAAATTGTGTTGAGCCTCATTGGATGCTTACCGTCATGCTATGTTCTGGATTCTTCTTGCTGTAATCTCAAGAACTCCCATTTTAAATCTTTTTCAAGTGCGATTTTGAAAAAATGGGACCAATTTGCTTAGCCATTTTGCATGGGATGATCTTTATCAACACTGGGTCCTCCAGTCCCCTAGCTTCTGCTACTGTACTGCAGCAGAGAGATACCACCGTAGCAAGCAGACAAAATCTTTGCAGTTTATCTTCTTTTACTTTTTCTTCTATGTAGGGGAAAGGGATCTTAATGTGAAACTAAGGAGCAATTAGTACTTTTCACTAGCAATGTACAAGCACTGACTAGCAAGGATGTCTCTGGCAGGATTTAGCTGACCTTGGGTGAGCTCAACAGCTGGGCAGAGTTGTACTGGGTTAGAATTTTGATAGGACACCACCAGAAATTCCAAGACTGTAGAGTTGATTGGAAATCTTTAAAAATAACAAAAACAACAGAAGGCAATGGCAAATAAGTTCCCTCTGGGTAGTCACCAGGAGTCAAATTTGACTCAAGGGAGTTTTTACCACTGGCCAGAAAGGTTGAGCTGTGATCAATTATTGGTTCTCTGCAAGTACAGTAGACTTTGGTGATGTACAATATATTCATTCCTGCAGTGCTTTAATTGCCGTAAATAAAACAGCCTGCTCAAGTCTAGCTCTGTTTAATTTGTGCAGTTGGTAGGACTGCCACATCTGGGTTACAAAGATCCAAACGACCACTAGATGGCAGCAAAGAGACAGAAAATTCTAAAACTTTCTGCCAACTCAAACTGGTAGTCTAGCAATCATAAAACTTGAGTGATGGGAAAGCTGTCTAGAAGTGTCTCAAGTCAAAGCCAAAGAAATCACATTATCATTTGCTTCTATTGCACAGATTTATTAAACTAACTCTGATCCATTATAGTACGTGAAATGTTCATACAAGGTAAGAAAGCAACAGCAAAAAGTATCTTGAGGAGCCAAAATCCAATCATCAGCTGTCCTAGGCAAGCAATAGATACTATTAGCAAACATGAGCACAAAGATTTACCCAATTAAGAACCCTGGGAGGATTTAACCAAACTGATTACTCATTTTCTTTCAGACTATTTATAAGGCGTGTTCCCACATGTTAGCTACATTAAAGACTGAAAGAAATTCAGGAAATGCCAGCAACAGGATGGGATCAGATCTTTGCTGGCTATAAGAAAGGTAAAGGAAGAGGAAAAAGGTATCACTGAGATTTCCCATTTGGCATACTAGCATCTATTACAGCTTAAGGGTCTAACGCAGAAGGATGGAACACAAAATTCCATTATATTTTGCTCCTGTCTAATGGTCATCCAGATTTTTGCAGCCCAGATATGGTAGTCTTACAAGAATGGTTGCATTTTACACAAATATATGTTCATCCTGCTGCTATTCTCTTTCCGGGTAATCAAAGTTGCACAGAGTGCAGAAAAGAAGTAAAAAACTGTAAGACAAAGAAATTAAAGTGATTAGATAAAAATAGCAAATTACTTCTCACCCATATCATTCACCATAAGTTTCTTTCTCTGCAAACCATCCTTGTTTCCACCGCATGGTATATCACTTCATACATTGCCTTTTGTTCTTTAAACTTCTCACCAATCTCTTTTTCAGGATCTCATCAACTCTAACCACAACTTCCTTAATCTTCCTCTTCTTCTCAACCCATTCACTCTTCCCTGATACATTTCTTTTGCAGTTTAACCCTTAATCATTCTCTCTATATGTCCAAACCAGTTCCACAAGCTTTGTTCTGTACTGATCACTCACTTTTGCATCCAATCCATATGAATTAAAACTCTTAATTTTTGGCCCAACTCTTCTTGCTTTACTATATACACTTAAGTAACTCATTCACACTGTGGCCACCTTATTTGTAAATTTGTCCTGACATACTTTTCACTTCCACACAACAAAATGGGCAGAACTTTTCTTCTGATGGTATTCATTTCTCATAACCCACTACCTTTCTACCACCATTCACATGTCTTAAAATTCCCCTATCCATTTTCTCAAGTTCAGTAAACATTCTTCCAAAGGATATGAATTTTATCCTCTTCCCTTATTTCTTTCCTGTTTAGATATATCTTGAGATTGTTCATTTCCCCTGTTCACTTTATCAAAGGAAATTGTTTATTAGGGGAGTGGGCAGCTAATACAGGAGTGAACACATATTATATTATAGAAAAAAATAGTGAGATTGTTACATGAATTCTTTTTGTCCTTCAGCTGTCTAGTTACTGGAGATGCCACCTTCCCATGGAGACTTTGAACTTCAGTCCAAGTTCTAACTGGATTCTGACAGTGGAATAAGGACATACTTCTTGTACATTGTGCTGAGGTTTGTTCATTTTTTTTCCCAAGCATCTTTCCCCTACAGTGCAATACCCTTTACATTTTGTAAATGTTTTCTTTTCCATTTTCCATTTAAAAAGTTTCTTAAAGGCATAATTACACATGAAAACAAGCATGAAGGGTATGCACATACAGTATGTACATATACTGTTTTAATTGTTGCAGTTTGTACTGCTTTTTTGCAAATTGTTTTTATTGTTTTTTGCACACTGCTTTGAGTTCCTTCAGGTAGAAAAGCATCATCAACATAGCCCATTTTGTGTTAAATTTTGCTCTAAAAATATATGTAGCACTGGAATACCATCTTGATTTGAAAAAACAAACAAGAACGTGATGTATAAGGGAATTAGTATTTCTGCTTAGAACACTGGCACACTTCCTACAACAAAGCTACACCTACATACTTCCAGGATATTGTGTGTAATGGCATTGAATCAAAACTAGCAGGAAGAGTAAGTGTCTCTCCCTCACTTGACCTGAGGTATGGTATGAACCACTTTTTCCTGCATGTCCTCATTACATTGGCCAAGGAAATCCACCAACTGCTTTCCTTAACTTGGTCCATCATAAATAGGGAGAACATTATTTATGAGTCTTGTATTGTGGCAGTATAGAAATCAGCTTTGAAAAGCCCACAAACAAAACAACAAAACAAAACATTCATGCTTTGAAATCTTCTGGAAGCCTGAGTAATTAATTTTGCATTGGTAGTTTAACAAGATTTAAATGCCATTATTTCATAATTCAACTCTGAAGTATATGCCTTTCAGTGATAAAATAGCAATACGATAGGAACATTTGTTTAAAAAGATAGCAAAAGCCAAGTGAGATAGCATTTTCCCTTTTATTATTGTTGCAAACTTAGTTAAGATGAACACATTTCAAAATACTGACACAGAGCCTAATGTTGG